AAAATGCAGACACTACTAACTTTTGTAAAAGCGGACACTATTAACTTTTGTAATGAAAAAACCGGACACTACAAACCATTGTAGTCCAAAAAAGCAGACACTACTAACTTTTGTAGTCTCAAAAAGCGGACACTACAAATCATTGTAGTCTCAAAAAGTGGACACTACAAACCATTGTAGTCCAAAAAAGCAGACACTACTAACTTTTGTAGTCTCAAAAAGTGGACACTACAAACCATTGTAGTCCGAAAAAATAGACACTACTAACTTTTGTAGTCTCAAAAAGCGGACACTACAAACCATTGTAGTCTGAAAAAATAGACACTACTAACTTTTGTAGTCTCAAAAAGCGGACACTATTAACTTTTGTAGTCTTTGTCTGACCTTTGTGGTCTATGTCCAACTTTTGTAGTCTATTAGTAAACTTTGTAGGCTATAACTTACTTTTGTAGTATATCAGCAATCTTTTGTAGTCTGTCAGTGTCAATTACCCTTTTAGGGCATGTACCTTCCTTTTTGGGAGAAATTTCCCACGATACAATAGTTGTAGCCCCTTCTCTTAGCTTTCTAAATCTGTTGAAATCATGTTGTTTAGTGTTCTTTTCACGTAGAAAAATGCAAAAAACAAAAAAAAACGCGGCGCTTTTGAAAACCTTTTACCTCATATCTCCACAATGGAAGCACTTTAGGACATAATTCCAACTGATTCAGGAAGCTATGGTAAAGAGCTACAACTTTTGTTTTTTTTACCATTTTTGGAAATTGGTCATGTGACCACCCTCCCAATGACCCATTGGATAGACCATAATATGACCTAGGGAATGAGATATTTATTGAAATTGCACAACATTAATTATGAAAAGTACAATGAAAGCATCCAATATTTCTAATGAAATATTCAATGAAAGCGCAAAGCATTAATTATGAAAGAGGCAATGAATACACCTGACCTAGGGAATGAGATATTTATTGAAATTGCACAACATTAATTATGAAAAGTACAATGAAAGCATCCAATATTTCTAATGAAATATTCAATGAAAGCGCACAGCATTAATTATGAAAGAGGCAATGAATACACCTGACCTAGGGAATGAGATATTTATTGAAATTGCACAACATTAATTATGAAAAGTACAATGAAAGCATCCAATATTCCTAATGAAATATTCAATGAAAGCGCACAGCATTAATTATGAAAGAGGCAATGAATACACCTGACCTAGGGAATGAGATATTTATTGAAATTGCACAACATTAATTATGAAAAGTACAATGAAAGCATCCAATATTCCTAATGAAATATTCAATGAAAGCGCACAGCATTAATTATGAAAGAGGCAATGAATACACCTGACCTAGGGAATGAGATATTTATTGAAATTGCACAACATTAATTATGAAAAGTACAATGAAAGCATCCAATATTCCTAATGAAATATTCAATGAAAGCGCACAGCATTAATTATGAAAGAGGCAATGAATACACCTGACCTAGGGAATGAGATATTTATTGAAATTGCACAACATTAATTATGAAAAGTACAATGAAAGCATCCAATATTCCTAATGAAATATTCAATGAAAGCGCACAGCATTAATTATGAAAGAGGCAATGAATACACCTGACCTAGGGAATGAGATATTTATTGAAATTGCACAACATTAATTATGAAAAGTACAATGAAAGCATCCAATATTCCTAATGAAATATTCAATGAAAGCGCACAGCATTAATTATGAAAGAGGCAATGAATACACCTGACATAGGGAATGAGATATTTATTGAAATTGCACAACATTAATTATGAAAAAAGCAATGAAAGCATCCAATATTCCTAATGAAATATTCAATGAAAGCGCACAGCATTAATTATGAAAAAGGCAATGAATACACCTAACCCAGTGAATGAAATACCTATTGAAAGCACACAGGTTTAATTATGAAAAGTACAATGAAAGAACTGAACAGCTTCAATGAAAAATTCATAGAAAGTGCATGATAATAATTATGAAAGCTCCTAAGAAATGTTATGAAAGGGTCCTGTGGTCTTTGCCTACATTTTATGAAAAGAACATAGCCTTTATGAGAAAGAATGACACAGGACACACCTATGAAAGGCCTTTCATAAAACTTGTGGACTTATACACACAGCTCTACAGGCAAGTGCCTTAGTTTTATGATAAAGATGGTAGCCACTTGTGTCACGATGGCTCTTGAGAAGTGTCTGGATAGTTTGGTCTACCAAGGGTTAATAATTTTATTCTCGTTGGAGGGGAAAGACTCACTGGAAGGTGACAACACGGCTGTTTCAAGGGCGAGGAGCTCCTGTCCAAACCAGTGGCAAAGATTGTCCGCCTCAACGCCTAATCGACGGTGTTCCTCCAAGCAGTGATTGAGCTTTAACATTGCTCGTATTCCCACCCGAACCTCGACTTCCTCAAGCCAACGTGGAACCTCCAGCGCGGTACGAGTGATCCAAATGTCCTCCATGAGCAACGGGCTGTTGCGCAAGTCATTGAGTTTGACAGGGAGAGCATCTGGGAGTGGCAGCTCCCAATCAGGTCGGTACATTGCAGCTAGTTGTTCACAGTAGTTGTTGAATTTTCGAATAGCCCTGAGAAGAGCTGGCTTGTGTTTCGCAATCGCATTTCGCGTGTTTTGGTGAATCTTTGTGCCTGTCGCGGTGTATTAGATACAACACATAGATACAACACACCAAAATGAACCGATAGCATGTTGACGTCCCCCAGCGGCTTGATCCAACCGATCCCACTCAAAAAAACTCCCAATGGCCCGCTTGCAGATGTTTATTTTGAGATCGCGTGCTAGCACCAAGAGTTTTACAAAGTCCAGGTCGATATCCTCGAGTTCAGGGAATGAGTCCTGAATGTTTAACGATGCATAGAGTTGTTCAACCTTCTCCTTCAAACACTCTTGAGTTCTAGCTAAGCTGCTTAATGTGGATTTCGAGAATCAATCGGCCAGGTGAGAAATGGCGTCATCGGTGGTGTCGATGGTGGTTTGGAGCTTAAGCACGGCATCCAGTTCCTTCTTGAGATGGGCAGGGGCATCTGGTGCTTTAGAATTAGAAAATTTGAGAGATAGAATGGCTTGGTGACTAACGAGCACAGATAGAAAGCTAGGCTGCTTTCTGTAACCCCCACTGAGTCCGTAACTCGCTCACTGGTACACCGCATTTGCTCAAAATCTTCCGCGCCTCATTTTCTTCAGTTGCGATGGTCTTGAGTCTCCGCCGGATCCAATCACCAAGGTCATCCCATAGCTCAGCTCCTATGGAACGGGATTGACGATCAAGCATCCAGATGTGTCGTCGTCGCTGTGGAAAGGTCGATAAGCTCAGGAAGGTTAGTATTCATGGATATTGTACTGCTGAAACCTGAGTCACACCGATCATTTTGCGTAAACGGGACCAAAAATGCTCCATGCCCTCCCCATCAGAAAGGCCAGGTCCTTCTTGAATACGTGGGTTGTAGATGAGTTGGCACGACCACTGATGAACATAGGCATGCATGGCACTGGTGCCAAAGTCAGCACAACTGGTGAGGCTTTCGGGAAGTATGTCAAACTGGCTTGTGGTGAGGAAGAGATGTGTGAATGTAGTGGTGCACTTACCAAGTTAAGGCTGCGATCAAGAACACACGCAACATCATAGAGAATGGTCACCGTGGCTGTTGGAGGCAGAAGGGAAAACAGATGTTCTATGAGGGAAACCACGTACTTTTGCTGCTCACCAGGAGTGTCAATGTTGGCGAGGAAGAGGGGGGCATCATGGCGGCAAACAAGAGCCATCACTCCTCCATTGTCATAGTGATCCATATTCGTTTTGATGGTCGACCCACTGCTGGAGTCATGCCCATCTTCACATTCGTCCACTGCTTCATCTGGTACTTTGGCAGCTTTGCAAGCTTGGGGAGGCTGGCCCCGCGCCTCCGTGATGCGTTTTCCAACATTGTCAACATACGCCTTGGTAAGAAAGTATTCTGGCCTGTAGAACTCAGGACAATCGCCCGCATCTTTTCTGTGGTGTTGGCTGAAATTGCCATCAGTGGCGACAATGAAATCAGCACCTCTGGGAACATCCTGGTCAGCATAGCCTGCAACATGGTAGTAATGGTACATACATTGCTCCCGAACACCCAAACGTCCGCAATCCAAAGCAAGCTGGACAGCATTGCTGTAGAACCCTCGCGCACTCGACAAGGGGCACAGGAGGTTCAGGTGGGCTGTCATCAGGAGTCAACTCGACAAGGGACAGAGGAGGTTCTGCTAGACTGTAATCAGGGGTCAACTGTTTGGGTATGGGTGCCTCAGGGGTGGTGATGGTATCCGGGTTGGTTTCTGAGGAGCAAGGAGTGGCAGCGTCACCAGCCACAGTCACTGCTTCGAGTTCTTGTTCAATCTGAACTTGCAGGCTGTCATACCACTGAATGGCATGACCTAGGCCTCGACGGAAGGCATCCTGAACGATCTCCCCCTGAAATGAAGAGTTTGTAAGAAAAAAGGGTGGGTGATAAGCATCAGATGGAGAACCTAATAGTTGTGGTGAACAAATCCTCAGCATCCATAAACTAGGTTGACAGCATGAGAATATGCGTATACAGCATCGCATGCACGTTCAAAAAGAGCGTTGTAGTGTTGTATGAGAATAATGGATACAGCCATCCGGGGTTGGGTGGGCAATGTCGGAAAGAGACCATGAAGGATGAGGGTTTCCATAATGTCCTGACATTCGCAACTAGTGACCTCAAAAGTGTCAAAATCTGCCAGAAGGATGTATGAGAATGGCTTGTTGAGAAGACGATGTGGCACGTACGATCAAAAAAAAGACAAAGGACTTTTCTGGATTTCACGACGCATACGTCCCCTTTGAGACATGTTGAATGAACCCCATCGAGGGGAAAGGTCTTTTTTCCATGGGTAGCTGAGATGAAGGAAAGGAACAGGGACACGAGGCGGGGAATGAGAGCCTGCCACTGCTGGTAAAGGAGGTTGGCCTCTGCATCTGGGCCAGTGTGTCGTACTTTTGCAGGAATGGGCGTCTTTGGTGGTATCGGATCGGATTTTTGAGGGGTGCTAGGACACAAGTCCACATCCATCCCATTATCTGGCATGGAGAAGTCATCCCCGTCCCCGTCCCCGTCCCCTTCCCCCCAAGCGAAGCCCGACCCTGAATTGCCCAGATCTCCTGGAACCTCCATGCTTCCCTCACAGTCATCTCCCCCTTCATCGTCTTCCTCCTCCCCAGGGTCTGCCAGAAGTCTGGCCAGAACTTCCTGCGTGCGACGAAGTTTATCTGCTTGTCCGAGATACGTGACCTGTGTTGAGGTTTTACGACTGTCGCGTCGCTTTTTTGGACTACGGAAGACTCGCCCGAAGCCCTTGGTGGCAGGCTGTTGGGCACGCGACTTGCTTAGTCGCATCGTTGGGGAGTGTCTGCAGCGGGAAAGCTAAGAAAAGAAGGAAAGAGTGAAAGCACACATGATATTTGCAATGGACAACTGAAATATCTAAGTCCCCCAGCGCAGGGACCGCCAGGAGCGGCCAGAGTGCGAGGAGCACTTTCATCGAGCACTGTTAGAGCTAGAGATCGCAATCTAAGAAAATTGATGATTCGAAGCAAGTATATTTTTAGCCATCACCGCCATCAGTGCTTAGGAAGGCCCCCTACAGTAGGCGGGAGCGCCGCAGTTCAATTTCGAAATTTGATTTCTGATTTCTGGGTTGAACCGCGGTGATGGAGCCCTAACCCGAACCTATGTGCAGATTTTGACCTCTTTTCATGAGATAAAAAGGAAAAATTTCACTAAAGTTTTCTCAGCTCATGCCGAGGGAGGTGGAGAAGTGATGACAGGCACTGTACACGATTTAACAGGATTATAAATTTTATTCCTTAAACTACTATACATCAAATTATACTTAAATTCTAAGAGAGGGAGTTCGAGACCCTGGAATGTACCACCAAGAATCCTCCAGGCCTCACTGTCGACAGCCGAGTTTGGGCGCATCTGGGAGTCAACATGTGGACCAGGCGGCCGTGGTCGAGTGGGACGCGGTGGTGGCCTCATCGCAGAGGGTGCCGGCGTTTTCGCAGGGCTGGTTAGTGGGGAGGCATGGGGTACACACCTGGCTGCACGGTAGGTGCTGTATCCCCTGTTGTTTCACCAAGTGTGGGTCCTCGTCGATGGGCCAGATTCTGTCTGTAGGGGCATTTTCGTGGGCTGATTCCGTCGGCGTGGGTAGATGGCAGTTTTGTGGGTCTTCGGGTGTTCTCATGGGCGGTTAGTTGTAATCCAAGGGTTGCGTTTGCGAGGGGGGTCGATGTGGGTGGTGGTCGTGTTTGCCGTGGCACATGGTGGACCGGTTCTCGTCACATTTGAAGCGAGGTATGTGTGGTCGGGTCGACACAGCCAACGTGGGGCGAGGTGGGAGGAGCGCCCTGGCTTTGCCCTGGTGGGCGTTTGCCAGGGCAGTGAGGTGGGAGGTGATGGTGGTGGGCTGTTAGCAAATATGGGGCTGAACAGAGTGGGAGCTCACCTGAAGGGGCCCGCGACCGTTTTCTTGGTCCTTGTCGGTCATAGCGAGGGTGCAAGGTGGGCAGGAAGAGGCTGCGAAAGGTGGGGCACAGGCAAGCAAATGGCGGTGGTGGTGATGAGAAAGCGGTCGTGACAGGTGACATGGGATCATCACACTCGTAACTTGTGGCGGTGTCGGAGATTTATTTCTTTTGTCACAACCAGCCGAAATTGGGACGGCATTGAATCGGCATTCTAACCAGTGCTAACCATTGAAAGTTCTTTATTTTTCCATTTTTTAGCCCAAAATTGGCTACAATCACGCCGGAACTCCCGTTGCCACCTGTTGCAACCAGGTTGCCACCCTGGATGGGACCAAAATTGTAACCAAAAACTCTTTGGTTGCTCTTAATTATGACGGCAATTTTGATAGGAACGTCCACAACAAGTTAGAACCGGTTGAGATGCCGAATTAGAAAACTCTGACAGGAGTTTCGAATTTATGTGCGAAAATGCGAAATCCAAGCGAAATCTCGAAGAACGACTTGAGAACAACACATTGTTACCTGGTGTGTTGCTTCTCACATGATGTGTAGTTCTCCTCATCTCTGTGTGTGTGTCTCCCCTTGCGCGCGGCGATGCATCTGTAAGTGGAAAAGATAATCAACCAAATACTCTACGTGTAGGTCACGTGACCTACTTTATGGGTCAAAATCTGCACATAGGTTCGGGTTAGGGCTCCATCACCACCAAGAAATCAGAAATCAAATTGAACCGCGGCGCTCCCGCCTACCGTAGCCCCCTCTCAGGCCAATTACCCCCAGACAAAGAATCGGCCTCTAAGGGCCCAGAAGCACGTAGAAGTGCTAGGCCTGCAGGCTGCCAGTGAGGTGCAACCGCTGCACTCCTAGATGATATCGGCTCTCCACATCAACGTAGCCAGATTCGTTGTCAAGTTCCACAGTTCTTCCTAAAATCTATAATCGTGAGTAGGCCGTTTGTTACGAAAAGTGGTGTTAGCGTAGGAAGACATAAAGACTTCAGTACAATATCCATTCCCAATCACTGCCCCCGACAACTAGCAATCGTCTCCGCCCTAACCGTCTGCGCAAACCTCACCAACTCATTCACCTGTACCCACCGCTCGTCCTCATGTCCCTCATACGAACGCACGCACTTCAAACCTGGGAACAAACCATCCAAGTACCGTCCAATAAGAAAAGCGTCCCGCGCATCCCAATCGTCTACTACCAATGCAATCGTGAGCGTCTTCAGTTCATGTTTGAGCTGTGGATATAATGGTTTCCTCGATGACAAAAAGGGTTGTACAGCCTGTATGTCGCTCGTGTCCAGGGGTATCCGCAGTTCCGTAAGCTTGGGACAACTTTCCACTAGGACTCAAAGAGACTTCATCCTCGGCCGCACACGAGTGGGAGGGAGGAACGGGAGGAGGAGGTCGTTCAAGTTTGGCCAGGTCTTCGCCCACTCTTTTATCAGGTCATCGCTGATGTCCATAAGGTATCCACGTAGACTGAGCGTGCGGAGGTTCTGTAAAGGGAATAAAGGCTTTAACGTGTCGAGAGGTAACTCTTCCGCCTCCGTGTCCTCCGGTGTTAGTCTGAGCCCGAAACATCGTAAGGAGCTAGACCAGCGCGAAACGACGTCCTCAACCAAGAGTTTCATGTCGAACCCTGGTTCAGGAGGTGAAAGGCAGACAAAGGTGTCTAGTTGGTCCGTTGATATGTTGACAGCGAACGATTGGATGAATGGGAGCGATGCGGAGATGCATAGACTCCTTAGGTGTCTGAAGCCTACGGTATTCGCCAAGGGGGGTATTGGTGAGTTTATAAAGTCCACTTCGAGGCCTGTAAGCGCCGACAGTGCCCCAACGCGTTCCAACGACGGCAATCTCAGAGATTTGCCCATACCTCCAAGTTCCAATACCCTCAGCCTCCCAAAACGAGGTATTAGCGACATTGTCTCCTTCCCCAGCCCCTCTCCCCTCAGTATAATCTTCACCAACTCCGCACCATCATTCAAAAGCGTAAACAAAAGGGTGCCACACAATTTATCTTCCACACTTGTAAATTGTAATCACCCCCATCTCCACTGCTACCAAAGACGGGGAGAGAAAGAGACATATGCCGGAGATCAGGAAATCGTTTGAGCTGATGGATGGACAGCGGATGTGTTGGAGGGAGGGGAAGAGGATGGGTGAGGCTCGAAGTTGGGCGATGCGGAAGTAGACGTGTAGGGCTATGTCGAGGTGGTCTGGGTCACGGATGTAGCTGAAGTTTTTAACGCGTTTGGCGTAGAACTCGAAGCGTGACCAGTCGGTTGGTCCTCGAAGGACCTGATACGAGTTTGCGGGAGCTCAAATTGAGATGATGCGCGGAGTGACTCGCGTATGTTCCTTCACATTGTATGAATGATGGGAGGAGTTTGAGCAGTGGGAAGAGAGCATCGAGGGTGCACCAGAGGCGATCTAGGGCGGGTTCGAGAAAAGTTTTGCATGTCACTGCTGCCTGCGCTAGGGCATGCTTGCACGCTATTGCGTTGTCCGAGTTTAGCTCGTCATCGTTATCCCACAAAAGATAATCAAATATTTTCAAGAGCAAGTCGGTGTTGCTGAAGAAGTCGTTAGCGTTGAGTTCTTTGTGGGTCGACAACGACACCGTCCGTGATTCCATACGTCTTCTTTGGTGAACGGACTTGTAAGTAGTAGAGATGACGATCAATCATTAATCAATGGCCTTGCTGATGTAATCTCATCTCAAGTGCTGTGCTTCCTGCCTTCACCAAGCCTTCACCATGACGTCCTTCGCTGACTTTCCTCTGGAAACCGTCAAAGAGATCATCGATGTTCTTCAGGACGATCTACCCTCCTTGAAAGCGTGCTCGCAGACATGCCAATCGCTTCTGCCATTGTGTCGCCAACACATCTATCGGACCATCAGCCTCACTCGCCATCATGCTCGTGGCCATCGCTCACGCATGCTTAAATCACTGAGGCTTCTTCTCGACAAAAACGCAGATATTGCACACTATGTTCGAAATCTTGTCTATGAGATCGACCATAACGACGAGGGGGATGACAACGTTCGCGTACTGGAAAAACTCCATCCAGTTCAGACCTTGGAGCTTGATGGTTCTGGTGCCCACTGGAACACATTGCGTTCACCGATGCAAGAAGTATTACTACGTCTCATTCATTCACACTCATTGACGTGTGTGCGAATTTCCTTATTCTGGAACTTTCCAGTCACCGCACTCATTCCCTGCATCACTCTCACCGACCTCGCAATAAACTCACTTGGTCTTACTGCCGCCACAAAATGTGATAACGATGAGGAGTATACTACCTTGGATCCCGTCCCTCATATAAAGTCGTTCACTTTCGATTGTGCCGATGACCCTTTTGTCACGAAAGTTTTTCATGCCAAACGTTCCACCGGCGTTCCAATGCTCGACTTCAGTAACCTCAAGGAGTTGAATATTCATGCGCGCTTCAAGGACTACTTTGAAGGGAGGAAAACATTGCTACAAGCCTCGGAAGAGCTTGAAATTCTACACTATCGAGGTATGCACGCCGAAATTCGTTTTACACTGGGGATTGATGTTAATGCTTCTAGTGACATATCTGGAAGACGGATGCGAAGATCTGGTTGCTTGGATGAACAAATCCTCCTTGTCAACGTTAAGAAGACTTCATGTCGTGTTGGGAATCAAACCAAGTTTCAAAGACCCCCTGTGCGGTCTTTGCGAGGAGCTCGCTCAATTTGCGGGACTCAACGTAATCGAAGAAATCACCCTGAACGTCTTCACCTGGACTGACAAACAATGCACCACAGACCGTACAAAATGGGGGCGGCTTGACACCGTACTTGCCGACGGATTTCCTATGCTTCGTCGGGTTTCGCTTCACATTGATATCAAAATTTCTACATGTCGGTATGTGGGTGAGGATGATTTAGCGTTCCGCGAAAAGTTACACAAGATTCCTGAATACTTTCCGTGGCTATCCCAAAGTACCATTATTGCTTTCAAGTTTTCGACGGAAATAGTTGATAGTGAGGATGATTGTGCTGTAATGTACTTTGATTAACTTTTTTCGCCCGGATATTTCCCGGGAGCCCCAATAATTTGCTCTAAGACGCCAGTCTCCTTGAAAATTCGTTTCCCCGGTCAAATATTGTGTGAGTCCTTGACGTAGCGGACGTCAGAAAGGGGTCGTCCCACATTATATGATATCTGGCAATGGCTCACATTCGTCATTTGAAATCCCAAAACTTTTGTCCTGGAATATGTACAAGTGAATACGGATCTGAGTATACTTGAGATTGATGGGCTCGAGTATTCCATGCCGGACGTGACCCATCAGCAGCGACTGAAGCTCACTACGCGTTCCGAATGGAGGAATGGAAAATTTAATGTGGGAGTCCTTCCGCAAAGTTGGCGTTTTGATCTGATTCTCATCAATATTTCTGGCGAAGATTCGCAAGGCCAACAACGAACTGGGACCATTGCCCGTCATCATGTCGAGTCTTTGATCTGTCTATATCACAGAAAACCGGAAGATACAACTGAAGGCATGACGGCAAAGGTAGTGGAATTTGATATCGCGCTTCAAAGCCAAATTGGGGAAGACGGGAGACACCTGTTCAATTAATATCCAAGTCCGATTGTTCTTCTTAGATCGCATTGGTGACCGTGTGCCATGTAAGGCTTACAGGGAACTCGCTACATGGTTATAAGTAATCAAGGAGTAAGATTGAAGCAGCGGTTGAAGAATGTTGTTTTGATTACGCACATGTTCTTCATGAATCCGCTACAAATATTATTCTTACCTTCAACACGCAGTAACTTTCACTAAAGTTGGAGAGAACATAAGATCCCGGGGCCGTAGTTGGTATGTCGGGTTATTGGGATATTTTCGGGCGATGTGCGTAACAAATACTGAGGCTTCCTCATAGACGAACAATCACCGGCCTACTCACTCCAGTGAGCCATAGCCATTCCAATTGAATCCTTGCACGGTACGGACCTGTAGCGTCGCACAGCATATTGTCAATGATGCTCTCAGCTGTATCCAGTCGATTCCATGTAGAACGACCCTCGGACGTCCACGCGTTACCAGCAGGAACGATTCTCCTATGCCCCTCGCATTCAACTGGCCATAGCCAGCTCCCATGATTGACACGCTCGCTCCGTTTGGCTGTAGACTTGTAGTTGGTAGTTGGACGATGTGTCGGACGCTCTGACGACGATGATTGGTCACTATGTGAGGGGCTAAACCTGTGCTTCGAAGTGACCGAGAGGTGAGCCTAAGCTTTGTTCGCGTCCAACGCAAGACTGACCTCTGCGCTCGGATAACAATCGACATACTCCGCTTCCCTCTCCATCCGACCACTCAGTTGGCAAGTCGAAACAGTCCGTGTGGATTGATGAATAACTTTCGGGTTTGACTTTATTCATTCCCAACACCAGCTCACCATTCAATGAGCAAAGACAATGTTCGTTGTTGAGTGATTTATCCCCCCCTCCTCCTCCCCCCCCCATTCCACTACCTTGTTACTACCCCCCTCTCCCGCCTGAGTCCTCGCGTGCAACCGCGTTCACCGCCGTTTCCCTCTCACGGATGGAGGGAGGTCGTTGACTCGTGACTGCCCTAGGCAAGGTGCACCTCTTGCTCACTCGATAAGAGGCGTTTAGTGATGCTCAAGATGGTCGGCTTGCATTGTAGTTAGTGACCGTTGACTGTCGCTGCCCTCGCCGCGGTATCACCATCTGTGCAAGCATCATCAGCTCATCCACTCGTTCTGTCCGACTGACCATGTTGATGTGAACTGGAGGATCACTCACCGTTTCTTAACATTTTCCAGCTTTTGATGGACGATTCTCCGCAGTGGAATTGTGATTCCTCGTCGAAATTCTTGAGATGTAGAATATGCAATGTCAATAACCGAATCCAAAGTGGCCTAGATGACCTACACTAGTCCGTAATACGCATCGTTCCGCTTTCTCAGTCTCGCTCTTATCCTCCGAAATTCATCGTCCACAACTCTGTGGGACTTCCCAACTGCAATTTCTCAGGCATCGCCTCGTTGTGGGAAGAATTTGAAACCTCTGCTTTCTGAGTGATAACAAGATGAATCGACAGGCCACAGCCAAGGGTGAAAAAGCTCACCATAAACCCCATCATCCCTGGGCTGCGTCTCGGTAAATTCGTGTCCCTTCCTGTGGAATCCCTTTTCCTTGTTGAACCCTTCCTCTCTCTTCTTTCGTCGTAGCCTCAGCTGGTCGTCATCACCGCTTTGACGTCGATTATCACTCCTGTCCTCCTCAGCCCCCCTGTCGTTGCTATCTTTGAGTGGAACCACATGATGGTTGGAGTACTGCGTGAATGTCAGCGTTTCCTCATGAGTACAAAAAGAAAGAGATCACCTGTGTGTAGGTATGCGGCCCGAGTTCTTCATGAGGTTGTAAGAAGGAGCCTGCAAGACGTGGTGAGGTCGGGATTTGCGGAAGAGGCGGTTGGTTGCTCAGTTGACGAGTATGACGGCATAATTTCAAGTTGAATATCCTGAGAAGAGAGGACACAGGGTAGAGGATACGGACCGAGACAGGCGGATGTTGGGCGGATGACTCGGATGAATAAAAGTGGAGCCCGAAGCTGACGCAAGCTTTTGATCAACAAGTCAAAACAGAAGCCCTTGCTCACCCTGGCGATCGTCCTTATGGCGCATGATTGCATCAGCACCTTTTTTTTACTTTCTATTTCAGAAAGAAGCCATCTTCGAATATTTCTTTGAAAAAACAAGAGCGACGGGGAACAGCGCCGGCGTTCGGACCGACAAACTATCGAGAAAGAGAAAATAAGATAATCCCCGAAATTCCAGCCTAAAAGACCTAAAATCAAAAAGTAGGTTAATCTTAAACATTTATCAACAACACTCTAAAACAACTTTTTTTAACTTAAGCAGAGTGGTTACTGTAGCCTTAGGGAACCGTCAATTCTAGCCAAACCCCTTTCCATGCTATGGCTCCGATAATTTGACTATACCGTTGCAAAAAGTCGCTGGTGGTGCGCGCGCCAACTTTCGCCAACTAAAAAATGAGCAAGAAACATTGGGAGAGCGTTTGACGGCAACGTTGAAGAGAGTGTAATTATTTCCTTATTTAGACCTTATTTACGACGTCAGTGTGAATATCCCCCTCCGTAACCTTTGGATGATACAGTTATGTAAAGGAAAATTTCCCAAGACCACTTCTGCATTATCTACGTTTCACTTGCGTTAGCTTAGTAATTTTATGTCAGTGTCGCATATGTGTTGGTATATTCGAGTTTTATCCCAATTTCTTTTGCGTACGTATATATCGTATGTAGTTTTCGCAAACGCGCAGTTTCATTGGCTCGACTCCCTTTGACAGATCGGAGGAGAAGTATTAATGTATCCCACCAGGATGCCCCTCTCTATCATACAAATGGACTTCGCCTTTCTAGACTCATTGGCACCCGAAGGTCAGAAGCGTGGTGAGCGTAATTTTACTCACGGCTGTCCTGAACTTTTGAAAGTAGATATCTCGTTTCATTGAGAAATTTTAAATATGGGTGCTCCCCCTTTTCCCTTTTGACGATATTGATTGGCTTGTACTTTTCGAAACACCCCCTGGTTCTGAGTATGTTGAACTGTGGATTCTTTTCACCGAGAAGAAAATGAGCAAAAGTCATGTTCGTGAGTAAGTATTTAACGCCTTGTGTGGCTTTGCTCAATGTCACTCAACGACCCTGCTCCGGAGTTTCCCCGCATTGGTCAAACGGCCCGCATCTTCCGCATCCCATCACAGGGAAGGGGTTCACAAAAAGGCCGATTTCTTGGACTCCAGTCCCACGAGGGCAAAGTCTGGGCTAGAGTGATGCTACAGTTACACCGCCGATGTACGCGTAGTAAGGGATAAAGGTATTTTTTCATGGATAGGCAGGCAGAAACGAACCTTCGGTCTTCGATTATCAGAGTGTCAAATAGTTCAGTGAATTAAATTAATTTTTATCCGTACATTTTTTGTAGGTCATTATCGGGGCCATATAGAGTCATTTTGTCATATTCCGGACAGATAGGATGATTGGCAAAAGTTGCGTCGTGTGGATAAAGGGCCAAGTTACAGACTTCCTTTGGCTTCGATGTCGAGCTCAGGCTCAACGTCGGTTTCGCTACCGTTCCGATCCTTCTGCTTGGCGAACGTGAGAGAGCCTTCTTTATGAGTGAATGTTTCCATCTGTGGTCGAGTAAGTCAATGAACTAAATTGAATTTCACGGACACGCACTTGAATGTGGACGCCTGACTTCAGACCACTTCTACGATGGTCGATAGCGGGCTGAATACTTCTAGTTCCAGCCGCACCACTGACGGCGCTAGAGGACCCACTGCAGTAGAAAATATTTATACTCGAGACGCGTAGCAAGCAAGAGGAAAATACCTACTAAACTTCGAGACCGCCTGTGAGGCCGAAGTTTGTTAAACGACGAACTGCGCGGCACGCGACAATCTGAAGTGATGGTCTGGTCAGAGCAGTCATGGCAGCATGGGAGATCTAAAAGAACAAACGGAGGCGGCGACAACTGCCGGCACATTAAAAATAATTGTCATGACCTGGTTGAGATTTTTCAAAATTAACGTTGTCGCGCATAGGTTAACAAGGAAGCTAAGGAGAAATATGAGTGTTTGCCATAGGTATGCTGCGATTTTGACTGACGCAATCATAAAGAAGATCAAGCCATCTTCGAATAACATTTGGACAAGGCGACTTTGACCGACAATATTTACTGTCTTGCAGTTCACGCCAATGAGTTTGTAGGTGCTCAGGAGGAGAACTATGAAATCGAAGCACATCGAATAAATGAAGGTCGCTGCGAGGACGGTGTTGTTAGTCTGGGTGATAACGCATCCAACACTATCAACCCAGGTTGCTCGAAGTTGGACTCCTGACGAAGATTAAAAATCAGAAAAGAACATATAGTTCAAACTGGAATCCTTGCCTTGAAGAATCAACGACCAATGTCCAAAGGTCATAAGAATGAGGAAGCCAATAATATATTTATTTTGTGACCAGATCGCCATGCTTAAACGCTAATCAATTACCAGCGAAAAATGATGAAGGACACAACGAACGTTCGGATAGAAAGATTGATACTCGCTAGCCCCATAGCGGCGTTTCCTGCGATCTGGTTGAAAGTATAGAGTACTTGACACTGAACTTCCGCAGTGACGTCCAAAGAAATCACGCTTGTCATTATCAAAGTACCATCAGTGAGATGATAGCTGAAGAAAGTCGCAATTCCTTATATGCCTATCAACGCGAAAAGGAGAAGATATCTGTTGGCGAAATAGAAGATCTAAATGCCTTTGTGTTAAGAACGGATAGTTTGAGGAGGTATTTGCACACCATTGGCCACCGGAACCTTCTTTTCCCCCGCAGAAAATCCAGGTCAAAATCAAGTGTCAGAAACCATTCATATCTAATATATTTATGATCGTGGTTAGGGGTGTCGTGGAAGTATATGATCAAACGCACGCGTATAATCCCAACAGAGCATGCACAAGTTTGCCAAAGGCCACTGCATCTTTCTGGATTTCAGCGGCTGATTTCCAGTCGGGCATAGTGAATGTTTAGAGGGGAGGGGAACAGGAGAACGCTACGGGGGAAAGCAGGACTGAGGTGATGATAGATCAGGATCGTTATAAGCTGCGGCAATGCAATTAAACATCCCTGCTCTGTTGTAGTGGTGTTTCTTTACTCCAGTGAGATCGCTGATTTCACGTCTTGTCGTGAGATACCTCTTCCGCTTTTGGAGCAATTCGACACTGCACGTCAAGCAAACCGTCCCGTTTACCCTCAACCCTCTCAAGTATCTTCTTTTTTTTTTTTGATATCCCAGTTGGTCGTCCAGGGTCGAGAGAAACTTAGCATCTGTTACACACACAAGTTGTCTTTCGCCGTGTTGAAAAACGCTTTGTTCCACTTCCTGACATGTTTGCGCCTTTTTTCCCCCGATGCGTATACCAATTGCAGAGCCGCATGAACGAAAATATGCAACAAGAATATCTAGAGATGCCTTTATGACGATTAACGGTGAAAACAACTGTGCACTTTCTAACCTCTTGACATAACTATACAGTAGCTTGAAAATTTCCCCAAAAGCTAGTCGCCGTTGAGTTGGACGTGCGACGCAAGTCTACGGCGGCATCGGGAAAGAGTTGCGTGATAAACTGTGGAACACGCAGCTGATTCTCGAAGGTTGCTTCCTAGGCAGATTAGATAGGAGTGAAAAAAAGGTTCTTCAACGGATGGTACGCAGAGATTTTAGCAGGTAAAAGCATAGGGTGCCAACCGGATTTTTAGCCTATCGTGGTGATGAGAAATGTTGCGACTCACATGTTTTCCATTTATCAACTTCAGCTATGGGAATAATCTCAAGAGGGGCAACATTGAATCTAGGTAGAACCGCAGAGAATCCAATGCAGGATCTAGAAATTTGTTGCACGCCAGCTGCACTAAGGACGTAACGGTGGTCGTTGAGCTCGAGACTGGCAAGAGGGAAGTTGGGGTAACGGGTAGAAAAAGCCGGCTCTAAGTTTTTGAATTTTTCCCTGTTGTGAGAACGGGATCCATGGACCATGACGGGTAAATTCGGAGAGAATAGATCGTTCTGTGAGTTGATTACGGACGGAATCATAGGGGATTGAAGTCACCAAAGCTCAAGCGAGATGAACTCTACGATAAGATAGATGTCTGCCCACAGACATTGATGGAATTCGAAAGCGACGCGGGAAATCGGCGTTGACGAGCTAGTAGTCCGAGAGAGGGTGGTTTACCGCAGAGACAGATGGCACAATAGCTTTCTGTACAAGCTGCGTGCTTCTCGTAGGCGCCGCCAGGTGGCAACACGAGACTCCATCCCGTCGTAATGATAGAATATCCATATGTAAGTGCGCACTAGAGCCGTTTTTGGTACTTTGGCGTCGAGGGTCAGCCTTTTAATTTTTTAGAAAGCTGACAGATGTGCGTGCACAGTGAAATTTTGGGAAGAAGAGGTGGTCATTTTCAAAGGGCGCTCCGTAGGCAGTGTAGTACTAGAAGGTGCCGAAATTTTCTCCGTCACGCACTGTGACAGTTGTGACAGACGCGTGACGCATGCGAAGTTACCAAATGACGCGTCGCGTGCCATCCATTTTCCCAACATTTTTCTTTCTGAAATCTACAAGCTGAAACACCGCAAAGTCTGAGGGCGAAAGGAACCTGCGATGTACGGTCAAAGAAGATACCGAAAAGCAAGAGGTGAAGGTCAGGCAGGTAGTAAAGGTGTGTCTGTTCTCTCCTTCTTTTCATCTGGATTTATGATTCGACTCAGGCCACTTTCTCAAGGAGACGCGAGTCTGACGGTTTCTCGTAACCCCCATGTCATTGACCGAGAAGGAGTGGATCCAAGGTTTCTTGGAAATGATGTATCCGTGGAAAACGACACACAAACACCGCGCTACCGCCTAAGCCGTTGCCTGATTTTTTAGCGTACACAACCTACTCGTTGTGAATGAATTGCCATGATAACCTGGCTCCATTCTAAGCTCACGTCGGTGGCAGCAAAACGCCTCAAAAAGATCGCGTCCTCCCAGATGCAGGCCAATTCAGCGTAAGTGACTCTATCCATCATTGAGGAACGCTTGGGCATTGTTAAATCAATGATGTCCTCTTTATCATGTGTGAAATAGTATCCCCACGACCGATTCGTCACGATATCGCCCTCGGCATACCGTAAACAGGAAAGGTAAGAACCCTTCACCGCGTGTCCAACTAAAAGTCAACGAATCCATCATCAGACCATGGAGTTTTGTGCAGCGCAGCAGAATCGGCATTTTCGTTGCAATACAGGCATGGTCGATAGCATACAAGCGTGAGATTCCGCTGTATCTCACGCGCAACGCTCACCATCTCTTAGCAATCTCTTAGGCAACGAGGTTTTCGAACCTTTTACCTAGTCAGACCAGGTACTGAAACAATTACTGCAGGCTCGTGATATTTAAATCAAAACGAGCTCGCAACTGGCAGGTACGCTTTCGTAAATAACTGTAACTTCGGACCGACTAATACACGCCGAAGAAATCACACGCAGTATGGTTCTCGCCGTCTCATCCAAGCCGTCATGTCCCTTCAAATCATCAACTTCTCCGGAAGGTTGAACCCATCACTCAGAAGAAAAGTTGTTTTAGAAACGGAAAGAAGCAAATTTGAAGGCTGCGCTGTTGTTGACTGAGCTAGCTCTTACAATTAAGTTCAAATCGCACTTCGTAATTTTTTCAAAATTTGTCCCAATGCCTTCAAATTCCAGTGGCGCGTTGCGCTTGACGGTCAATTGCAGGTTGGTGACTTTGTAAAGGTGTTGAAAGCTGAACTCATCATTTTAATTTCCATCTGGTGGTGGTAGCTTAGACCACAACCGCGATCACCAGTTGGATCTGGGTTTTTAAACCCTGGAATCAACGACAAACGCCCAAACCCCACTCTTCACCTCAGTAATCTGAGCTCCGTTTCGCTTGACCCACAGCAACATTATGCACGACCCCCAGGTCAGGGCCCCTCGGACGGTCAAGACGGAGAAGGTCCATCGGTTTGAAGTAGTGGTTCTAAGGCCATTCTTTTAAAGCTATATCCCTCATCTTCTTCACAGGCAGCATCAAGTAAAAGGGCCTCGCTACTGTGCGCTCTGTTCGATAAAACTCGCCTTTCTGTTTCGTTTACCCACAATCAGGTCACTACCGCATATACGGCGCAATCAACACAAACAGCTTTGGGCTGGCTGAGAAGCGATCAACAGAGAAGGTACGATTTGGGAAATTGCCTGATGTGGTGCTGCGCGAGCCTTGTCAAGGTACGTACGAAACACTAGACGTTTCCTCCCATGAATGATATTGAAGATTTTTGTTTAGTCTATTGTCGCGTTTACAAGAAAGAGGGTGCAATGCCTTCAAGGACTCCTTTTGATCCAGACGATGACACTTTGCGTCGCGTCGTCATTCCCCTTATCACGGCTCCTCACACCGTCATTTCCCTTAATTCTTGGATTGTCAAGGCTGAGTGCATGAGCGGGGGGATCGGACTATCCGATGATATGGACGGTGAGGTGCTGATGAGCGACGATAACCCTGTGTCTTGCTCTGTGCAAACCTATCCAGGTTATACGGAGACGAGTTGATTGTGGTACTCTGCGGAGAGGTAAGTCTTGGAACCAGGGAACCGAAACGCGAATTACAGCATATGTGCCGTGGAGTGAGCGGTGTTCTCTTGTACTCTCCTAACACCTGGTAAAAAGAATGAGGTATTGGTCACAGATGGTGTCGCAATTACTGCGACCCTCTATAGTGGCGGTAACTTTCTTGTCCACCCTGTCATTTATCAAGGTCTTACTGACACTCCAAGATAGTTGCAAGAGAGGCGTTATGACGGCTATATTATGGCGATTAATTCTGCCGGAAGGAAAGCTTGTGAGCAATCGCCTTTCGAAGCCTTGAACCCTCATATTTATGAAATGGTTCATTGATAGTCGTTCAAACCAGTGGGTGACAGCATATGTTTCTTAGCCTTTAACGCATTCTTCGCCCGTAGATCCCGTTACCTTCTGATTTTATATGTGGGTCTGTGGTAAATTATTGGACCCCTTCCCCATCACCTTTGAAACTCATCTCGGTATCGCTCCATCGAATTCCTCCACCCCTTCCTTATGGCTCTCTAGTTTTCTCTGTGTTCGGTGTAAGAATCGGCTCAAATCTCCCAATGATACCACTTACTCCAACCAGTCGTGAGTCGTTTCAAAAACGAAACTTTGCTTCGTCTTTGAGGCTCTTGGGAGCTCTGCGCAATTATACCCGTTTCGTCGACTCCGCCGCAAACAATCGCCAGAGGCTCGTGTTCTCCAGAACCTGGATACGTCTGCGCAAAGAGAGATATCATACTACTATCATTCATCAATACCTCATCGTCCATCATGTCTTCGAACAACTGGATTTTTTGAGCTGATGCAACGCCTTCAGCTTTGACAATCCGGGCTTTGACGGAAGCGACAGTATGAGGTGGCGCTATGGAAAGAGTGTCGATGCGGCCTAATGACTTATCGTCTGGATTGAAGGAGGTCTTCGATGGTATTGCACCGTCTTTGTCATAAATGTGATAGTGAACTGAAACTTGAATAGTAACATTGTAGCAGAACTGAAGTACACCCTCCACATACCGTAATGAGGCTTATGTGAATCAGTGTCAGGCAGATCCTTCGAATGTTCTCCGCCAGCCGCTGATCGATTTGTAACATCCCAAATCCCAACGACTAGAGCCATAGGGTCATCCTCCGAGGCGCCCGGACCGTCATGGCCTTTCAATGAGAGGCGAGTCGACTCCTCGATTGCCGTCTGACTTGAAAGCGATTCGAAGAGACTGCCGACGGTGTCCACGGAAAACCCTTCGATTCCGCACAGGTGGTTTATCACATTCCTTGCCATATGTGGTGGTGTAATCAGCTTTGGAAGCGTTCGGCCGATGAACGGGTCATTTGCGTAGATTGGCTTGCTCGTGGCGATCGCACCCTCCCTGGTGTACAAGCGGTAGTATACTGCTCGTGTACAGAAGGTGAGGGGTAGGCTGGAGAGACATTGTAGCGCGACGTACGATAACGTGGCCCCTTATCCGATCCTGTCTAGACGATCATTTAAACAAATTCACGGAGGCTCCCGTCCGTCTTGCTCACCATCAAATCCCCTGCCTGACCATCCAAAGCGTCTTGAATGGGGCCGGACGTTGCATGATTGACATTCGCATTGGCAGAAACGGAGCTCATACTGGACTAGATGGAGGATGAGAGGAAGGACGTGTGGCACTGCGGGTGAGCGTCAAGACTCGATCAGCGTGCCTGGTGGCATTGCTACCTGATTGCTGTGCCTAATTGTGGTGGTGCACAATCCCTGCTAAGTGTGATGACCAGTGACATGCCACGTGACAGTATCACACAGCCAATTTCTTGAGACATAGAGTTTGTACTTTCCACAACACCAATTCAATATATTTTTTACAATGGGTTTGATGGAATTAAGTGAATGAATCCACCGAGAGAGTTTTCCATGTAAGAATTGTAGTTATTGCTCCAAAAATGCGCAATCAGCCTGTTTTCCCTGCCAAATTTGGCACTATGGAGAGATTGGTTAATAACTTTTCAACCGCTGCACATATGAACATGATTTGTAGGAGGATTTTACTTAGAATTTAAATTACAATCGATCTACGAGTCCAGAAATTTTATTTGTGGCCCATGTGCCGAGATAGCCTTGAAAATGGGCATTTTAACATAGTTAAGGGGTAGTAATTAAAATTCTGGACTCGTAGGATTAAAGCCACATACTAATCGATGATTTTGTCTCTGCAAATCTAAGCTGAAATCCTATCTGTTGTGAAGCAGATAGCTCAAGTAGGCAACCTTGGGTTAATAGGTGCTGCTGCATAGCCATCAAAGTCAAATACATTGTATATTTCTATACATCTGAATAGATATTATTTATACGATTCCGGTGC